TTATGAGTAATGGTGAATAGCTCTCAAATAGCTCCCAAATGTTTTGGTGATTGTTAGTTTGACATTACTAGATTTTTATAATTAACGTTTAATAACGAATTTTAAGAGATATATATATATATATATATATATATATATATGTACACGTTTATTTGATAGTTCAAACCAAATAAAACCTCTTTCCGAATTAAAATTAATTTCTCTTATTTTTCAAAAAAAATTTAGAAATTATTTTTTTTATAAGTTATAATTAATTTTTATTTTAATTTAATTTTAAATAAAGATAACCCGTCCATCGGACGGGTACTATGCTAGTCAAGTATAAAATTCAAAGTTAACAAAAAATATAATAATCTTTATATTATTAAATGTTGAATCACAAACTAAATATAAGGATCATTATTCTTAAATTAATGTCTTACATTTTAATAGTAAAGTGTGGATTTAAAGTATGAATTTATGTATATGATTAAATGTGTTTTTTGGTAAATAAATTTTAATTTTTTTAAAAAATTAAATATCAAATGTAGCAATAAAGAGAGAGTGAACCTTACTTTCTAACTCTTTTCATTTTCTTTGCCATTTGTTTATAACTTATCGTGTAATTAAATTTTGTATTGAATGATTGTCTTAAACATTTACTTTTATATATATATTTTTAGAAAAATAAAGGACTTAAATGTTTTTCCACCAATAAGGAAAGAGTGAAACCTTACTTTTATATATATGATTAAATTGCCCCGTTGGGTTATTGCGATAATTATGGTCTTATGACTCTTTGAAGGAGGAGTCTTATGCCAGATGTCGTATTTTGATAGGGTTTTGTTTTTTTTTTTTTGTAAAAGAAAAGAGATAATTTCCACTCTCTTCCTCTTCTTCATCATCTTCCTCGTCTCTATCCTCGCCCGCTCAACCGAAAAGCTCGACGAGGCCAGACGATCCATCCAGCTAGCCACCGGCTTCGGGGTCGCCACATTTTCTCCCGACGTTCGCGATTTCGACGCCGTTTCAAAGGCGGTTGATGAATCGGGGCCGATCGATGTGTTAACTGTTAACCAAGGCGTGTTTATTGGTAAGGAGCTTCAGAAACAGAGTAACGAGGAGGTTAAGTTCATGATTGATGTCAATCTGGTTGGGAGCGATTGATATAAAGACTCTTGATTTTGATGTTTTTGTTTGTAACAGGGCAACGCAGCGATTGATATAAAGAAGCAACCAAAGAGATCTGAGGCAACCCTTCTCTCCTCTAGTTTGTGGTTAGTTCTTTAAAACCTCTTTTCTCCTCTGGCTTGTGTTGATGGCTTTTGAATCTTAGCTTAGGTAACTAATGACTTTACTGATTCAATTAGCTTAGATTTTGACTAGTGTAGTAGCTTAGTGTAGGCGTTTACATTAGAAGATTAAGTGGGTTTTCTCCTCTAGTTAGTGTAGGCGTTTACATTAGAAGCTTTGCTGAGGCTGAGGTCGAGGTTCGATCTCATCAAGAAAGCTGAGGTTTGTGTTTGATGTTTGAAGTATCATTGTGCTTTTGTTTGAAAGCTCTTGTCTTGTCTTTTGCTGTGATGAATCTTCCTTTGTTTCACTTATGAAATTCTTATTCTTTTGTTGATTTTGCTATCAGGAATCTTGTCTTTTGCTTTTGTTTTTGATGCTTTGTTTTTACAATCTTGCTCTTAGACCATTCATATGCAGCTTAGACCTCAGTTTTTAATGCCTATAGCTTTAATTGACACTGGTCGTCTTTGTTTCATGATGGGGCTGACTGAATTGTTTTATTTACATCTGATTTGAGCCTTTGCTTTGCTTCCATTGATGCTTGTCTAGTTAATTCTGTTTCGTTTTTGTGACAGATCATAGCAAGATCATAGTTAATGCTGTTCCTGCTTCTTCTTTTTGTATTTCTTCACCGTGCATATATTTTTTGTGCTAATGGAACAGGATGAGTTTATTTATTGCAGTACCTTTACAAGTCATGTGGTCTATTAATTGGCTAAAATTTTGTGTACAGGACACTGTAGTTGGATTTTTGATGGCTGGAGTTGGTAATGTTGACATAAGGAGGAAGACAAATCACCTCATCGTGGATTCAAGTATGTTTTTGTACTCATCATAATGATCTTTAGGAAAGATAATGTTTTCAATCATGAATCAAATTATGTCAGGTAGCTCAAAGTGGTATGTATCCCTTTGATAAATTCGAGTTAGTGGAAGGAAGTTTTGCATCAACTCAAGTTTTTAATGTGGTCTTGTTAGGAGATAACTTTCCTAACTTCTATATCTGTAGAATTGTATATGTATCAATGTCGTGACTAATGACCTCTTGTCTCAGCTTTGGTTTATTGGTTTTGAACGATAGGCTTGGCATCTAAACTTGACTTGTGTTATAGAAGAAAACCAGTCTTAGCACATAATTCTTTCTGATAGAAATTTTCTTTGACCTGCACATTGTGTTTAGAAGGTGACAAAAGGTGACAAAATCACCTTGGAAATCTCAGTGCTGGATTCCGAGCCTTGGAGGATGAAACTCGGTAAGCTGTGTCCGTCTCCACCGCAAGTCTAAAAATCATCCCAATTGGGTTGTTTTTGGAGAAAGAGGTTTCATTCATGTTCTCTTTCTTGTGTTTTTGAACCAAACAACTTACCAATTGATCAATTTAGCCATATATTAACTAAACATGATCTATTAAAGTTTGTCATTTTAATGTTTATGTTTCTATCTTTGTGTTTCTCATTTTTATCTTAATTATTTTTTATATATAATAATTTTGAATTGTATTTTTTATATATTTTAATTTTAAAATATGTTTATGTTTATTTTTATAAGTTTTCAATTTATTAATAATTTATTTAATTTAAAAATTGAATAATATATTAACATTATTATATTATTAAAAATTTAAGATACTAGAAGTTTAACCAATAATCACCTCAAAATCAAAACATCTTAACTTCAACTTTTTCATTATTAATATAGCTATCAATGTCTAAGAGACATCCACAAGCATACACCCTTAAAGATGCCCTAAGAGTTCAAAACCATTATAAATATGACTAGTTTTGTTAAAACGGGCCTAAATTTATAGGGTTGGCCCGGCTCGTCTTTATATTTTTGGGTTAAGGCCCTGTTTTTTTTTTTTTTTAATATTTCGAGTTAAAAACGAGCCGGACTATACAATATTAACGGGCTCAAAACGAGCTAGCCCAAAATATTTTTATTAACTCAAACTTTAAAACGTCATCGTTTTGAGATAGGTTTTCCAAACTCAAATCTCAATTTTCTCTTCTTCTCAATCGACGAAGCCAGTCACAAACTCACAAAATTTTGGGCAATAGTAGACTAAATCTTCATCTCCCAGGTATAAATCTCATCTGAGATAATTGGGTTTTTGAAAATTTTCGTTTTGAGCTGTCTCAATGAATCTGATTTCCATAAAAATCCCATCTTTTGAGCAGGAGAAAGAGAGAGAAGCAGTTTTGGTATACAAAGTTGCATAGTGGATTCAGCTCCTGTTGAATACTCTCCAGCTTCTCTCTACTCTCCAGCTCTGGCCTAGCCGTACAGGTACGTTCTGTTGTTACCTTTCGATTTTAACATTTTGCAACTTGTGTCTGAAGTCTTGTAAGTGTTCTTATATTTCGATTTTAAAACATAAGTGTTTTCACATTTCATTTTCCCAAAAGCTCTTCGTTTTCTCCAGATGTTTGTGTTTGATTTCATAAATGGTTCGGAGTAGATTGAAGTAGTGAAATTGAATCAGATCTTATGATTTCTCGTTCCTTTGCATTGGTGAATTGGGATGTAGTTGTCTAGTTTTGGATTTGGGCATTGAAAAATTCACTGTGTTAGAAATACTGATGTTTTAGGAAATGTGAACTTTGTGTCACTGTCACATATGAACATTGTGTATTATGAATATTAAGCATGTTATAGGTTTACTCTGTCTAATACAAATATTCAAGTTACTCATAAAGAGTTCATCTAATACAAATATTTAAGTTAGATATGATTTTGAGTCAAGTTCAGAGTTTATGTGATAAGGATGTTGATGGAAACTTCATAATTCTAATGCTTACACCATTGTATATCTTCCATTTCGTAGCTATGCAACAACCCACGAACTCTTTTGCAAGTTCTCTTATATGAACTGTCATCAGTCTCCACTGAAAAAGATTGAATTTTTCCGTCCGTGTTTCTCTCGAATTCTTATAATTTGAGATAGTGATGTTTAATGACAGCTGAAGAATAGAGAAAGGTTATGGATTCAGATGCATGGGAAATTATCCATATACCTGAAAAGCCTGCATTGTCACCTGACCATCAGCCCACTGGTAAGTAAGGCCTCTCAGTTGTGTTTCTTTTTTCAAAGGTTATTTTTTTCAAACTTCTTCTTCTGTGTTGTTGTTGTTGTTTACAGTGAAGGTGTTTGCGAGTGTAATCAAACCCAAATTTGCTAATACGATAGTGAGGTTGGTTTGCATTGTTGTTTCCACTCTTGATCCCTTGACTGAAATTTTCAGCTGTAATCTCCACTTCAAAATGAGTGAAATTGACTTCGATGTGATTAGGCATTTATGTAAGATTGCTCCTCTGGAAGATCTTCGCCATGTTAAAAGGGTGAAGAAGAAGATTCTTCCAGATCATGGTATCCCATTATTAGTTTTGTTGGCGCTGTGATACACCAAACTTAAAATTATGAGGTTTTGATTGGAAGCTTATTGGACAGGTGAACCTCAGTTGACTGTCATCTTATGTCTAGCACCTGAGCACCACGATCATTTGAATGATTTGCCACCTGATGTACAGAAACTCGTTGATCCCTATGAGTTGAATCCTTTTATTACAGAAGTGAGTTTCTTTTTCTCTTTTCTCACCATGATTTTCTTCAAGGCTTTTGTCATATAGCTTCCAAGTCAAAGATTTCTGCTCATTCAATTATATTTTCAGTGGAATCTCATATTTCTGCTATAAATTATGATAGGTATGCAAATATGCTGCGGTGTCCAAAGAAGAGTGGGAAAAACAAAGTAAGATATGGCCAACTTCATTTCACCCCCCAACCTAGTAAGTTTCATATCTTTCTGTTAGATTTTGGTTTCTTGGATCTTTTTTGTAACCAAAAGACCCTACATTCCTTTTCTTGTCTTTTAATTATTTAAGCTTTAGTCGTTCTGAAGTAATCCTACTTCTTGATGATTTCTATTAATGCTCTTATATGCACTGTTATAGCAATATATTTCTTCATTTATAGTGCAGCAGTCAATTTTTTTACTTTTGCATTTGGTAATAACAGCAATATAGAAGGCATCGGTGGGTTCAGCGAAGAGGACACACAATCAATCTGCAAATTCATGAGAATTGTTATTGATATGGCAGTATCTGGTCATAAACCAGTAAGTTTTTTCCATTAATCTACATAACATTGATTTGAAGTTTTAAGTTTTAGACAATAGACCAGGCTCTCCTATTCATATATTTTCATTATTAACATATCATTTGCTTTTCTTTAGTGCCTCAATCCTTTTTTTCTTGGTAGTAAGATTTACCATGGTTTCATTATAGAGAAATGATTTCAATTTAGCACATTTCTAATGTACTTTTCAGCTTGTAAATGCTGCAGTGATAGTTGATCCCTCAGTTAGGCGAATAATAGCAAGTGAAACTGATCAAGTATATGCATCATCTGCTCCTCACGACAAGACTAGAGCAGAGACCAGGCCATTCAAGGAAACAGGGAAAATATGCTTAAATGACACACTTGGAAAAAAGAATGGTTCATTGTCTGCTGTTGCTTGTCTGAATCCTTGGCAATGGAGTTTGCAGCCACATGACACTGAAAATTGTAGCCAGTGGCATCCTCTAAGGCATGCTTCCATGGTTGCCATTGAATCTTCTTCTGCCAGAGATAGACATCTGTTTCCCAATCCATCCGAGTTTTTTGATCAGGATCATGTTCATCCCTCAAATACGGATTCTCCGGCTAAAAAGCAGAAAACAAGCAGTCAGGGTCCAGACGTAAGTTCATTCCAACCAAAATTTTTAATTTCATCCACGTGCTTTGACTAGTACATTATTCTCTTTTACACTTTTGAGTTACCAATAGGTCCAAATTGACAACAGAGAAGAGGTTCTTGGAAATCTGTCAATGGAAAGGCCGTACCTCTGCACTGGTTGTGACATTTTCCTCCTGTTGGAGCCTTGTACAATGTGAGTTACTACATACATTACCCTTCTAACATCCACAAGTTTGTGTATCTAATGAAGTCATGATATGTTCTCAAGGTGTGCTATGGCGCTTGTGCATCAAAGAATAAAACGGATTTTCTATGCGTTTCCAAACCTCACAGCAGGCGGTCTCGGGAGTGTTCATAGACTTCAAGGGGCAAAGAGTTTGAACCATCATTATGCAGTGTTCAGAGTTTCCTGATCACACCCTTAGCCAATTGACCAGGGTCTAATGCATTGTTGTAGTCGAGTGATAATTGTAGTTGAGTGATAATTGTATTACACGTTCTGAGTAATTGTTTTTTCCAAGAATCCGAAATCTTATTGAGTTATTACGTAGACCAAGATCTTAGAATTGTGTTACTGTGTAGCAGGGGCTCAGTACTGTGTAGTCAGAAACTTGTGTTTAAGTGAAACAACATAAAGAAAGATCTATATCAGAAACTTCTGAGCTGGAACTGCAATCTTTAAGAATGCACGAGTTTGGTGAATCGTATTAAAACAGCTAAGTTGATCATAAATTAACTATTGTGTCTTAACATGGAATGAATATCAGTCCTCTGTTGCTCGAGCCAAAGAGCTCATTTAATGTCCATATTGAAAAGCCTTCTTCAAGTACACTCAGTTCTAAGATCTTCCATGAGACCCTGCCTGAAACAAAGATGACAATAGCATCCACACCTAAGTGAAGCATCCTTTTCATCAGACCAGCATCATCCACAGTCCATGTGTAAACATCTTTGTTTCTCATGTCGATCAGATAAAGCAAGGTTGTAAATACATGGTAAATGATGCATGTCTGAAAACCTTAAGAGAATGCAAGTTTGGAGTATGAGGTCGGTAGTTGCTACTTTCTTAATTGGCGTTTAAAAGATAGAATTATATATATAGTCCTTTCTTGCTAGTAGACTAATTGATGAACACTTGAGAAGTTGCTTAGTTTTTGTTTCTCTCTTGCAACCAATCCGTAAATCGTATATTTTTTTTTTAGCAAACATTTTGTTTTACAAGCCAAATGCAATTTCTGACTGTAGTTGAGTAAATTGTGGGTACTATTACTTAGGAAGCTTCAGTTTTGTTATTTAGCATAAATTAATAACTCAGTTACATGAAACAAAGAATATAGAAATTAGATATATTACTGAAGTTATATCTGAACTCAAAAGTACATTAGTATTTAACATAAATAAAGATTAACGACGACAGTATAAATGAAAACAGAAAAAATCCCAATAAGATAGTACCACTTGATAAACAACATTATTTATTTAGCATAGATAAAGATTATGGAAATGTTGACAAAAAAAAAATTATGGAAATGAAAACTAACAAACCCAATAAGATATAGTATTAGTCGAGAGACAACGTTATATTATTTAGCATAGATAAGTATTAACGACAATAGAAATGAAGACTTCACATTCCCAAGAAGAGAGATCAATGAACTCTTGTTCTTCACAGTGGCCAAGTACTGTCAACATGATCCAAGATGGTTCGAACCGAACGTATGCCGTCACCCAATCCTTCAATCTGAATCTTTCTGAGCTTTTTTGTGACTGTATCGTAATACAGCACAGAGAAATCATCTTCGTAACTGTAGTATTGTGCGAAAACAAGTTTATTTGTTCCACTAGTGGTACCTCTGAAAACATATTGCACATTTCCAGCATTTTGTTCCCAACTAGGAATCTCGACGCGGATTCTCTGCCATTCCTTCGCAGTTTCATCCCTAACCCATATATGAAAAACTATATCTCCATTCGGTTCATTCACAATTCCATCTAAGAAGTCAGAGTCGTTCACCAAGGCAATTTTCCCATTGTAAATCACATAATTCCAATATGTACTAATATATAGATCAGGAAATTCAATGACGGTAAACTCTTCAGACCTCACATCAAACTTCATTACCAGAGGTTCGTGACTAGTGGACCGAGCTCCATAGTACAAAATCCCTCCTTTACATAGTCCTTGAGTTTCTGGTTGATGATCCTTCGTACATGTGATCCGTCTCCAAGAAGAAGAAGGTTCTTCACCCAATGCCACAGTCAAGACTTGATAATCATAAGCTCTAAGTGATGGTTCAATGTTATGTAACATCGTCACACATAAGACCTTGAACACTTTGGTGGCTTCATCGTATCCTAGAAAACTTGTTACGACAGCGTCCTTATGCGCTTGGATATCCGGTAAAGTCTGAAACTTTTTCGTACCCGGATTGCAAATCGCAACCTTAGTTTGTAACCGAAGACAGATCATACCTCTGATGGGCTGAGAAATATGAGAATTTGTTGAATCAAGAGAAATACGCAACTGTTGTTGACCGAACGACAACAATGGTTTCTCCTCTTGATAAACATAGTGAAACAACACCTCACTGGTAGGTGGGCCAGGGAGACATCTTTGCTCTCGAGTAACAGAGTGAAACCACAACATATCAGGTTCGGGTGGCTAGGATGCAACTCGGTCGACCAGGAACAACACTCGAGGCCTTGTTATCGATGGGTAAAGATATCTAAAATCTTCAGAGCGGATAAAAGATGCCCATTCCTTCAAGTTTCTCCACTTTTTTCATCCGGTTACTAGGATTGTTTATTAGTTTATATATGTTAGGATTCCAAATTGTAATCAAATTATGTAATGTTATTATTGTTATTATTAAAAGTATACTATTATCATTGGCTATAGTAGTATTTTCATAGAACTTACAAACGTGAGACAAAACGGTAAAAGAACAATAAACAAAACCAAATATGATAAAAGATTGATCGCAACAAAAATAAAGCAATGAGGCAATTGCAAATCCAAATCCTTTGCCGCCTCTGTTTTCTGTTACCGACTATT